CATAGTTTTCCACATTTCGTTTCCTTTTTGTTGCCTGCCGCCCGCCCTCTTACCGCGCGGCGCGACGGAGCAGAAGGAGACGGAGACAGAGATATAGACCAGACCCGGGCGGAAAGGGAGAGAAGGCGATCGAGGGAGCGATCTCCCCCGGCGTCTGGAGAACAAGAGAGCTTGCGAAGCACGGCCGAGCAGGAGGGCGGTGGGGGCGTGGGCGGTCGGATGCGCTTCCTGTCGCCTCGCGGCTCTCTTCGGCGGGCGTTGGGTGCGGACGCAGCGCCGCCTCGCCTTCGTGACCACCGGCGGGTCTCGACGAAACGCTTGGAATCCCACCCAGGCATCCGCGTGCGAGCACATATACAACGCGCACGCTTCGCACGGCCACGTGCATCACGACCACCTCGCCGCCCCGGGCTGCGCCGCAACCGACATTAGTCCGATTTTTTTTTTTATTATATGTTACGTCTTCGTATGGGTCCAATACCGTAGACGCGGGAATGCCTAATGAATTATGGACTCGATAAAAATCGTAGCAGGAGAGTCTCCTTTATGTCCCTAAGGAATATATACGCGCCGCGCTTTACAAAGGCAAAGTATTTTACCAATTCTCATCGGGCCATTACGGTAAGCGATTCGAGAGGGACAGCGAGCCCGCGTGCCCATTAAGACACATTTTAAAGTGCTCATTTGCAGGCGTGGGCGGCGTCGTAAAGCACGGGAGTGATTGACATTGGTGTCGGAGCCGCCACGGCAGCCGGCCGGGGGGATGCAAGCCGACGCGCAGGAGCCCTCGGTAGCACAGGTTGCGGGGCGAGGTGGGCACGGCATAGGATAGGAGGGAGAGGAGGTGATTCGCGGGAAGGGGCGAGGCGGGGCGGAGAGTGCGAGGCGAGTGCCGTGGCGAAGCGCGGGGAAGGGCTAAACGCTGTGCCGTTTTTGGCCAAGAAGGCGAGGTGTTTTTTTTTTCGTCGTGGTTCGATGACGCAAACTTCTTATTCGCCCGGATCTCCTGTCTCCCGTGATTTGGCTTCACGGGTTCTACAGATCCTCACCACTTCATATGGTCGACACCAAGTTTGCGATTCTTTGCAAGAAACAATAAAACGGATGGATGAAACAATATTATGCTAACAACAAAACAAAGATATCGTAATCGATCAAATGGAACGTAGAGTTTTCCAAGCATCAAAAATGTGCACTATTTATTTAATAGGAATGTAACAAAACTATGGAATGAATTTAATAGGAATGTAAACTTGAAGTATCTTTAGAGGAGTAGCATTACTTTTCGTTAATCAATCTGCACTGATCTATGTTACAAAACAATTTTTATTGAATGATGTGATATGGCGGTTAAGAAAATCACTGTACCCTTTAAATAATATCGAAGCTAAATAAATAAATAAATTAGTTAAAAAATTTAAAAAATTAAAAATCCGTCAGAAGAAAGAAAAGCGCCTATGTGCTTTTATTACAACCACTAATGTTGTGATACAAATTCTCCTCTGAATGTCAATGCGATACATTTGAATAACATGCTTTTATTAATCAAAATCGCTCTTCGATAATTGTATTATTATCTATATTATAATAATGTCCAATGCGCGCAGACGTTGAAAGAAAACTGGGCAGCCTCTGTCAATGTGAGCGGTGTATATTTTTTCGGTAGATAATCAGAAACTCGGGAAAAATCTAAAAATAATGAAACAGTTTCGATTTCAACTAAACACAATTATTGTAGTATTTACCAGTTCTTACTACGCGTACCGATTAAATTCTCGTAGTCAGTGCGCCACTGCTTTCATCATAGCTGACGCCACGCGTGAGCAACTCCCAAGGGAAGATGCCTCCCACCTTCGAATATTTTCTCTTCACGTGCTGATTTATAGAGCTGCAATTTTGTGATATTCCTGATATGCAAAGAACTATTGCACTTAATACACACCCTACTGTGTTGTTGGAGTATTTGTGAAGACTTTTTGAAAAAATATTAAATTCATTGCAGTGTTAACCAAGAGTATTCTGTTTTTCTAAAGTAGTAAGCGTGCAACTTTTTGGAAAATTATTTTGTGCGTTTTTGTGTAGCGTTTTTGCTGCTGCAGGCAATTAATGTGATTATTATTATTATTATTATTATTATTATTATTATTATTATTATTATTATTATTACTATTACTATTATTATTATTATTACTATTATTATTATTATTACTATTATTACTATTATTACTATTATTACTATTATTACTATTATTACTATTATTATGAAAGCGTTTACTTTTGTTGAATTTCCATGCAGTCTCCTGGCATTACTCCAGCAGCTCTGTAAGAGGACAAAGCACGACCGAAACAAATGAAGACACCGCTGTTGCAATGCTACTTCGGAGTCTAGGTCCCTCACTGCTCCCGCTCGCGCCAGTGAATTCCTAAGAGGCTCGCTCGCGAAATTATACTCCGTCGCAGCAAATAGAGAACGCTCGTGGAACGCCAAGAATTCGGCGTGGAGCTGGGAGCGACAGAGGAGAAGAAGCGAAAAGGCAATGCAGTGAGAGGAAACTCACTACTTGCCAAATCGCACGAATCCTCCCAGTAATACAATATTATCAAATCGCGCGTAAACTGTATACTGAAAAGACTTTTTTGTTTCTAACATTAGATCACCGATTAGAAGACATTTAAAATATAAGCTGAAGATGAAAGTCTTTAATTTTCATTTGAAACTGAATCACCTTGTTTTTTGTACAGGCCTACATGACGCATCGGGTCGTGTACGGGCCGTGTACGGACCGTGGCCTACCAGCGACATCCCGGCCTCGCGGCCACGGGTTAAGGGGGAACGGTTGGTGCGAAGACATACCCACGCCGTATTCTGGTCTTCTCAACCTGAGAAGTGAATTTTCTCATCGTCACACAGCAACAAATAAGGAATTTGAAAGGAAAACGATCACTATAATCTTGCTTGGCCGAGAATCGAACCCGGGGTCGCGTCACCAAATCACCTTATATTGTTTAATTTCTCATAGTCATATAGCATACACGCCATATCCCTACCAGAATGTAACTAAACACACAGAACTGACGCTAGGCATTCTTGGGCAATTATGAAGTGAAGAATCGATAATTATATGCTATTAGAGAACTATGAATGTATTAAATTATAGAACAGTGTATTCTGTGGTCGCAAAATACATGTTCTTGAATAAAGAGATCTTACCTAAACCTTAAAGACTAATTCTGTCTCTGGGTAAACCATTGGCGCCCACTACTAACATACAACAGCTATTTGACTATATAGCAAGACCGGTTAACCCTAAGCAGGAGATTTTCAGACGAGAGAAAACTCATTAGAATCATTCTCATTAGAATTCACCGATTTTTGTACCATTAAATTGTAACGAACATTGGAACAGAATTAATTAACATCCAAATCCATACGATTTACGTCGTCTCACAACGTTCACATTCAGGTGTTTTACAAAAAAGCATGTTCTATAACAAAGATACCGCCGAGTGCATTTCTTTTTTTTTTTTTTAATTTATTTCTTCTCGTTCGACCAAAGGTCTTTCGAGGGGTTTCGGGTTTTACATACTGACATTTTGGATTTGCGGCATTCCTGACAAATTGAGCATTAGATCACTCTGACTCGTTAATTCTTGTTTGCTGTAGAAGCAGCTGGGATTATCTTTTGATTTTTTTTTTTTTTTGGCAGAGGGGGGTAGCGTTGTTAGGAATGCCCTATCGAGCAATAGGAAGCGCAACGTGGAAAGATTCCTATTTAGATACGGGATGATATTATTGGTTTAGGGAAGTTTAAGCATGTCTTTGGGAAATTTGAATTGCTTCGGCTTGGGATGTTTGCTGGTCGACTAGGTGAAATTTCAGGGCGAATGAGATGAAGTGAAAGGGAAGAATAGAAATTATTTGCTACTTTTTTAATGTGTTCGAAGCATGTTTCATTGGAGTTCTCTGTGAATTTGTTTGGTTAGGTAACCATGGGAGCTTTAATTGTTTTCTGAGGACTTTATTTTGGACAATTTGCATTTTTTGTATGGTGGTGGAAGCAGCGTTTCCCCACACTGAGTGCATTTCGACAAACCGGAAGCCGCAAAGGTCGCATTCATTCGCTATTTTGAGGAGAATTGTAGCGACCGACTGTTTTTATCGGTATTTTTCTGTGGTTTCTTCGAACAATAACGGAGGAATGCCAGGGCAGTACCATGCCACGGGCAGAACCATGCCAGAAACAGACCATGGACCGCTTGCAATCTTTTCTTCCTTACCCTTGTTTTTCCCCCTCCTAGATACACTCGCTTATACTTACGTGCACTCCACTACCACATGTCTTGAGCTCATAGCTAGTCCCGACTTAGCCGATGCCCACCCTGCGGACATATCTGTTGGGCGGAGGACCCCCCCCCACACACACACACAAGCCAATGTGTAGGTCGGTGCCGGATCTCGCGTTCCAGCTAGGGAGGAACACCGCCTTCTCCCGGACTCCGCCATGCACTACACTTACGGGATTTAATAATACATAACAGCTGCAGTGCTCGGAGGTAAAATAATGATTCAATCAATCGGAAGCCCCCGAAAGTACCCGAAAAAGCTGTTCGATTCAGAGGTTATATATAACATATCCTAGAATCCTTGCAGAATCCGAACATCACTACCCTGAGGAAGCCTGCGAAATGTCGGGCGAAACGTCGGCACCCCAGCCAACGACGCGGCGTCACCCGGATAGCCGAGAATTCAGAATCCGAACATCGCCATGAAGTTTCCAGAAGGAAAAAGCTCCTGAGCGAGATATCTTATGCGATTTGTGTCGTGCGCTGCAGTATTAGCGGTCGTTTCCACTCCGGTAAAGAACAGTCGCGGCCGTCCCACACTTCGCGACCTGTCGCCCAACCCGACTTCTTTCCTCCGGATCGTTACAGGATTGCGTCGGCGAGAAACCGCATCTGAAATTCAATTAAACTGAAAATATGGTCTTGTTTCAACGTAGGATGACGGGAGCGGCGGCGACGGTGGAGGCTGCGGTGCCAGCCATGGAGACGGTAGCGTCGGTGCGGAGGGCGAGGATAAGGAGGGAGAAGGGCGGGGACGGCCTCCAGGGTCGCCACCCGCGTTCTCCGAGGTCGCGCGCGTCGGCTGCTCGCGTTGCCAACTGGCACAAATGTCAAATCAGCAAAAGGTAGGTAGGCACTTCGCTACGATGGGTCCGTGTATGGGAAATTGTTTCTATTCGTAAGCGACCCTTCATTTCTTTATCCGTGGAGTCATTTATTAAAACAAATTAAATACTACGAAAGCTAAAAAAGTTAGTTCTAATCACTAACTTAGTTCATAGCTACGTATATCTGTAAGTAATCACAATGTACTTGTGATAGTAGGTAAGCCGTAATTTCAAATGGATTGCTTATTAGCCGTAAACGTATCTCATAACTTTTCAGTTATTTTTGTTACTTTTTAATAATAGTAAAGAGACAGAACAATTTGGTTTAATTCAAAACAATTTACATAAAGATAGAAATACTAATTTTAATTGATATTACAGTATATTGGCATTTAAGATATCTGAACACAGCGAACCCGAACATTTTTTATTCTAGTATTTGAAAACTAATAAAACACAGAAAATTTTAAAAAATGTGCCTTCTCGAAATTTACAAACGTAAACGGTTCCTAAAACAAAGAAGAAGTTCCCTACACGAGGGAAAAACTAACACAAATATTGAAGAAGCGAGTGATCCGATCAGTTCTTAAATTTGAATTTAAATTTCTTTCTCAATTGCTATTTAAAGACCTTTAGGCCGAATGCTGAGCGTATACGTGTGTGTATGTATGCTTGTGTGTGTGTTTGTGTGTGTGTTTGTAATAGAGAAAAAACAAAGAGAAAGAGGATCAATGTTAATACATCGACCAAAATCCATCGATGTTTTTAAAATATCGATAATTTGGCAGTAACCGTATATTCTAATTTATAATCGAAATTTAACTGGAAACAAAAGGAAAAAAATACCTCTCCATGAGCGAAAGACGAGCAATGACGAAGGAAACACCAGACTATAAGGAGACAGTGTGCTTGATGGAAGTAATGCAAACCGCGTTGTTGTGGTTGGAACACATAAACAGTGGCACAGTCACGTTTTATTTCTTATTTTAAATTTCACAAAAGTGTAATTATTGCATTTTTTCATCCAGGAATAAAACATCGAAAACATAAAAACATCGATGTTCAGAACACATCGAGTACAATATATCGATGTTCAAAAATCCTCGACTTCCAATACATCGCTGTTTCAAACATCGATATTTTCATTGTAACATCGATGTTTCTAAATCATCGACATCAATGTCGCATTCCTAGTGGGCGCGCGAGGCGAGAACGACAGCGCAACCATGGCGCCCTTCGTTCCAATCGCGCGGGTGCTGTTTCTGCAACGCAGCGCTCCGTGTCTATAAATAAATCACCGTAATATTTAAACTAATTAATTACAATACGCCATGGCTTTATTATGCTATGCACGCCCAAGGCCGTGTGGCAAACACAGGTCAAGCTATGATTTTAAAATTAACACCATATGATTTACATAACAGTTTACTCGCTTAGAATTACACGATAATTTGTTTTGTCAACCTTTGGAGCGACTGGGACTGCCCGGGATAATGAGGGTCGCGTTCTGATTATTAAACGGGAAGCGAGTCCGTTTATAAATTTTAACTGTCATGTTTATAAATATGGCAGAATTTAGCACCTTTTTATTACTTCCATTCATTTGTATACTTTGTAAATGCACACCTCTTACTGTTCACGTTAAGTTTTAACATCCTCTGTTATCTCCTGATACAAACATCTTTATTTTCTACATAGAATACAAGAGTTACAGAGAATAGTGGCACTAATATGATTGTGCACAAGACGAATGCACGAATTATACACAAAATTACTTTTTTTTAAGTTTTATACATTTGAGTGAAAATACTTTTAGACAGTTTACGAAAGACTTTATATATGCAATCATTAGTAGTCTTTGTAGGCTTAGTTCCGGGTACCACTATTTTGGATAATTAGGAAAGAAATAGAAATCACAATTCTAAACGATTACACAGTTCTGCAACGGTATATGTTGAAAACTACTTTTAATTCTGATAAATGTATTTCAGTGCACTTCCAAGAAAATGTATTTTCTTTATATAAAATATGATATAATACTGTAGTACTAAGCTCATAAAATTGTCTTTAGTTTTAACACACGTAGACCGCAATTCGATGTTTTTCTCAAGTGCTAACAATTGAATTGGCGAGATTTGAATTATGAATTTAGTACTAATCATATTTATTAAAATATAACGTTATGTTTCAAAATGATATTTTGCAGTTAATGAAAAAATAATTTTATAAATAGTCTGGTCGAAAATTCATGTGCGGGAAGGCAAAAAAAACCTGGGAGCGACTCAGCACACCGCTTCCGTAAGAGGTGCTCGAAATCGAGCTGTCCACCTTTTACGTAACGACTTTGTCTGTGGGACAGCAATAAATATAAGTTATTGGTAAATTGTTGCGGTAGCCTTGCGGATAACTGTACCTGGGCTTCAAGGTGAGAGCGGGGGAGCGCCCGGGCGCGCGCTTGCAGCCGGCGGTGCGTGATATGCGTGACACGAGCGCGGCCGCCTTTGAACTCCTCGCAAAATAAACTACACACGGTGGCGCAGGTTTGTGTATAAGTGTATGAGCGGGTGCCAGCGTGTCTCGAGACACCGTTGCACTTTTCTAGCGGGCGGAATTTATGCGTCGTTGCGCCGTTTTACCTCGATCTTGTTGTCTGGTGCGCATGACGTATATTGTGAAGAAATGGAGGCCATACTTAAACATTTCGGCTACTCGCGTGGGTGTGAAGAATAAAAAGTGCTGTGTCGCTCTAAGAAGTATATCAACGAAAGCTGAAGGTAAATGGATTTGAGTTTGGCATGCGTCCGTAATCATTTTGATGCAATAGTAATTAAATTGTAAATTTCAATGTAATGAATATATATTTCAAGAATATGTATTATAGTTTACTAATTAATTTTTATTCAATGAAATTGAAATAGTTCTGGAATAAACACAATTTCATATGAACAAAAGATTTACTTCCGTAATGTATTAGAGATATGAAGGAGTATTTCAGTGCTATTATAATTATTGTTTAATATAAGTCGAAAGATAAATTTAGGTTAGTATATAAAACTGCAATGATCATGTTATTTATGCTCCAAAGGCTGCGATTCACAGCAATCTCAAAAATTATTTTATTATTGTAAGAGTTATATAGTGAAAGTCAATAGTAAATATTGCTTTGATTTCGAAGATAATGAAATTAATTCATGCACACCATGCTTTGAATTAAATGACGTCTTTGGTTGATTAATTTTTGTGAAATATTGCGGATTTCCAAGCCATTCATTCACAAATAAAATTGACCTTGGGAGAAGTGCCGTAAATAAATTTAACTTTATATTTGCCCCGTCCAAAATAAGGTGATCTTTTTTTGTAGCTTTTAAAAGAAATCAAGAATTTAAACGCAGCACGTTTCATTCATGAGTCGCCCATTTTCCAAGATTTTTTCTTGTGAATAAATCAGTATTTGGAAAAAACGATTGCCCACCCACCGAATGTAAATTCGAGAAATAGTTTTCGATGATTTTGGTAGATGTATATCAATACATTAACATGACCAGTCTATACCCATTTGGCAATTTTGATTCTCAGGTTTCAGTATTTAAATCTCCTCGCACCATTAGCTTTGTGGACTTGCTTTCCGATCCCACAACAAAACACCATCATTGTAGAACATTTTTTTTTCATTTTAAGTATTCATATAGTTAGTGTATCCATGATATACTTCGTAAACAAGTATCATCGACTCTTTAAATGAAGCGTTATAAAATCCATAAACCAGGGTAAATTGTATCTGCATTCGAAACATAACATAAAATTACCGCAGATAATATGTGCAATACTTTTCTTTACTTTTCGATTTACCTTTACAACAAAGCTACATAAAGCTTACATTTTCAGGTCTCTGTCTCATCCACATACAGATCAAGTTGAATCTATTCCCACGTGAATTATTAAACAATCTAAGATTCTCTTAATTGTTATCTAGTATCTTCACGAAAACCAGAAAAAATTATGAATTACATTTAAAATTACAAACAGAATTGTAAAATTATTGGAAAAATCTTTCATTAGTTCATCTAATTTCTAGACTATTTATATATGCACAATACAATTTCCTTTTAGAAAATCTTATATTTCTATTTAAAGACTTGTCAATTACATTGTATCAGAACAGGTCATGTAATTACTTGTCTTATTAAAACAACATATGCAAGTAAATCACGGACGGGCATGTCTTGAAAAGGCAACGCCTTATAATATAGCCTTCAACAACATACGCATGTTTGACAGTGCCCTCAGACTCAAAGCATAATTGCACGACCGTGCGTTACTCTTTGCTTCCACTTGACGAACGTATCTCTTCATCAAACCACTCGCCCGTTCCGCGACAACTTGGGTGTCCAACACGACTCTGTCGAGAGTTACATAAGAGATCCAAGGCGACTTTGTTTCTTACTGCATCGCTAGCGAACTGACATGCCAAAAATCAATTTAATAAGGCTGCTGCTGAACAATGGATGACACATATCACACGTTATATTGTTTTACGCTAACAATAAATAATAATTTTTTAACTCTTAAAATGCAATCTATCATTTTAGAACAAGTGTCCATCCACATCTTTCAATAAGTTAGATTTGGAGGATGACAGTAAGGTAAATTATCGTGAGGAATACAAGCTGAACCCGTGTATAGATTTATTTTGTATATCGAAATAAGTATTTTAAAAATTAATAAGGCACCATACAAGACCCTAATTTCGCACGGCCAGGCCAAGAAATGAGCATTACATAAAATAGGCTCGGTACCATGTGTGGGTACCGAGTGCATTAACCACCATAAAGACATATATCCGCGCCAATATCGCTATCAAATAGTCGACTTATTTTTTTATCAACTTATAAATCCCTTACGAATAATACGCACGGAGTTTAGCACATCAAGTATTTCTTAACGCGTGAAGAAATTGATGAAAATGTCCTTCATTTACTTTGAACAGTACAATCCTTTCAATATTGTAAATAGAATAGCAGGTAATATAGTGCATAGTTCTTTGCAGTTTGCAAAGGTTGTTTTTTGTAGAACACGTTGGGTTTACTTATTTGTAAACGAGGCACCTTGAAAAAGAGGAGACAGATGGGGTAACTTCCCCAGGTTCCGACACAGGTGGGGCTCGGATTCTCTTTCAAAACTTATTAAAATTTTTAAAACATTTACTTTTAATTCAAATGAACCAGTATAAGATAATCCTGTTGCACATGCCCCTTCTTTTCTCTCGGCGCTCCTGTTCGCAATAATATTGTATTTTTAAAGCGCCGAAATGACTCGCGTACTCTTATGGCGGGAATAGTGACTTCTCATGTTTGTTATACAAATTCATCCAGCTGTTATTAAAATCTCAAATTTGCATTTTACCGATTTTTTTAATTACATAGATTAAGAGTGTGCGCACGTGCCACAGAGCAGGTATATCCAGAAAAACTGACAAAAAATATAATTACATGTTCAATAAACTTCTAATCAGAAGTAATAGTCCAAAAAACGTAGTGTGAAGTCCGCAGTGCTTCCAGATCCCAATTTTAAAAACAGTTTACTAGGTTTAAGTTTCAGTGTTACGTACAATAAACACATGTTCGATGCGGGTAGTATATGCGCCGCCACGATTAGCGCGAGATTTTAAATTCCAATTTTATTTTTTCAATTGATGTTTTCCGAAATGATTTCAGAGGCAATTCTGTAGGAGTGAAATTGCTTTACTGTTTTTTGCTTTTTTAAATTTAGATTATTGTAACGTTGAAGTGAATCACTTTTTTCTCGTCTCGTTCGTCATTCTATACCCGCGAACTAACCATCCTAACGTTATTTCATATTCCACTTGGTATTCTATTCAGTTGTCGACATACCTGCAATCGATCCCGTGTTCTTCATAACATTCGCAAATACTTGAAAAAATGCGAAGGATAGGAGTTGAAGGACCCGCGCGCGCGCACCAAAGTAACAATTGCCAAGCGGTGGGCTGACGCCTTGCGAATCCAAGGCCGTGTCGGTCACTTGTCGCCGACGCCGCCCTAGAACCCGCAGCGGCCGCCGCGGGCCAGACGCTCGACGCAGGGAGTGGGGCGAGCAGCGGGGCGGGAGAGAGAGAGAGAGAGAAAGAGGGAGGACAGAGGGCTGCAAAAGAGGGGAAGAGGAAGGGGGAACCATGCGTGCTGCCGAGATAAAATCTCACCTTCAGGCGCCCTCTTATTCTTTTGATTAATGGGTGAAAGATATGACAACGCGTGCTCATTAAGCGGTACGCCGCTGACACTGTTTGACAACTGATTCTTAATTGCCTATCAGGCAAATCGCGCCCTGGCGCCGGTGTCGGAATGACTGGTCGGCGGCGCGGGGTCCCAGCGACAGCAGCGCGAAGCAAGGGAGGTCCGACGGAGGCAGTGAAAGGTGCAGAAGTCGATACTGTGAGAAGAGATCCGTTAGGCACTGGAGATGGGAATGACCTGGTAATAACTCACAACCGCATTGTTTTTTGAGGGATCACGCGGTTTTCGGGTATTTATGCCCAGGTTATAAGGTTTTGTAAATATAATGAGCGTAAATCGTAAATATAATTTGGAAGAGAAACAAATTAAAGAAATTCGTTTTGTAGGCTGTTAAAGAAAGTATTAAATTAGCAACACTGTGTTAAGAATCTAAGTCCACGTCGACGGGCCTTTTATCATAGTTTATTTGAATTTTACTATTCAATCATGTAGTACCTACACGAGATAATTGACATATGTTGCATACAAAGTGTAAACAATAGTTACACTACCTTTGTCCACCAGCAGTACCAAAACATTGGAGCTGTTTTTTCTCAAAACTACTAACGAATATGTTAGAATTAATTACTTTCTTTTATAAGACGCTTCTTAGTATATTTCGCTAAAGCTATAGTCAGCGTTTATAGGCTTAACCCGATAAAACCATTTGTAGACGTGAGGTTCAATTTTACAGACAACAGCAAACCGAAAATGAAAATTCGTGTATGTGTGCAAAAGTCAGTTGAAAAAGTATAGCTACGGTTTTACTGAATTCCACCAATAACAATTATGCGTGACGTTGTTATAGCTATAATTATTATAATTATAATTATAATAATGATAAGTATTATTATTATTATTATCAGTGAAAAATGATTTCATGGGAGTGCGAGTTACGTGGTCATTTACCTCTCCCCTGAATGGCACCGGTATATAGAAATCACTCGCATTGCACGTGATTGGAAACAACAGCCCTACGTGCGGGCGGGTGCGGGCCGCGCCGCCACCGTCAGCCACCGTGCTGAGCGGGGTCCGAGGCGAGCAGCCGAGCGCTGGAACGCTGGAGTAGTGCCCGCCCGGAAGCACATTCCGCCACTAGCCACTCCCTCGCCTCTTCTCGCGCTTTTTGTTCGTCGCTTCGACACCGGCAAGGCTACGATCTTCACGACTCGAGGTAAACTAACGACTCAACTTCGATAGACCTGGTTACACGCATTGTGGAAGTGTATACCAATAAGTTTTTTTTCTTTCTTCTTGTTTCAAGTTCCGTAATATGAGCGGGTTTGTTAATACAGAAAGGATCTCTCATAAAGGTGCTCTGGTTTCGATGTCTGTGTCGTGATGATCACGTTCGTACAATGTAGCGGTACCGCCCGAAAGTGCGTTTTATATTTAGTTACGAAATGATGTTCACTGAACAATACAGATTCTTGGAAAGTGAATTGATTGAAATCATCATTAGAACCCACGAAAGAGATAATAACAAAATTGAGAATAAAAATGGAACTACAAGTGACAAAACTAAAATTCGAAGGAAAAATTACTAACAAATCTTCTAGTAATCTTCTTGACGTATGTCTGAGAAACGTATTCAAAAGTTAACAGTTTATTACAAACATTGCGCCGGTTACGTATTTTCCCTGCATTTTCCGTTGAATCTCTCAGACAAATCCTAAATGTCAGTGTTGAGTTTGATTATGTAGGCCTATATTGAATACTGAAAATATGTCTACGTTCCGAAACATGCAAAAACATTTGTTTCGTAAAAAAAAAGTTCTTATAGACCAAGGCACAATTCTGTTTGTTCTCTTCCCTGCTCAGTGTGTGCTGTTTCCTGCTCAGTGTGTGCTGTAAAGTGGATTTCGAAAGAGGCACAGGCACAAATGTCCGTTTACACGAATGATTATTCAACATTTGACAATAATAGAGAAACTCTGTCTACTATTCGTTAAGCCAATTATTCTTTGAATTCGAAAATGACGTACATTTTATGACAAAACATAGTCGAAAAACCATAGCACAATTCTGCGTGTGTCTTTCCTTCTCGAGCCATCAAGCCTACGAAGTCCTGAGCGCCATGTATTCTATATCTCACGCGGTGTGGTCATAACATGGTCACCTAAATACAGCCTGCGACTAGGGAGGGGGTCCTTGTGCGCTAGGGGTGTTGACAGATATGAAATTAATATGACACGATTCTTGTATTTCTCTCCTTGTGATATTGGGGCAGAAAAAGCCAACACCCAGTATCCTATCCTATCCAGCCAAAGATCAGCGTTTCACGCATAGTTTCCGGAAGTTAAATATAATTTCTCGGCATCCTGTTACGGGACGGCTCTAAATGAGAGAGGCCTTTGAAAATGTGCACAATTAAAACGCAATTTTAAACATTAACGTAAATGTTTAAACAAACAGTTACAAATGTGCTGATAATTTTTTTTATTTGTGAATTTATTTAGTAATATTAATAGTAAAAATATTTTTAAATATATTTTAAATGTCTCTAACCGAGTTTAAACACAAACTTTTTTATGTGATTCAAAAATATTTTAAAATTATTTTTAATTGCGCTATCATTTAGTTTCATTTTCAAATTGCTTATAAAAATGTATGAATTAAACAATGAATACTCTATATAAAATTCAACTAAAAATCGCTTGCTGTGATTTTGTGTAAAGAGCCATCCCTACATACTTTCTGATGCCGCGTCAGACATTCGGCGTGAGAAAAAAAAGAAGTGAAAAACCCCCAAACCCCGGGCTCCAGTGAAGCCGTAGCCTATCGCGCGGTGTGCGCGGGCGGGAAAGACACGGCTGGCCGCATCCCGCACCTCTCGCGCGCGCCGGATATCAGTTCGCGGACACGTGGCCCGGGCGCACGCCGTATTTCACACGTCCAATCGTACACCATATTTCCGGGCACTGCGCCACGCCACGCCGCGCCACGCCACGCCACACCACGCCATGCCGCGCCGCGCCGCGCCGCACCGCGCGCCGCCTGCCCGGAAAGTGAGTTGTTGCGTCGGGCGCGGGTATGGACAGCCTCTGGGGCGATAAAGCTCAGTTCTTATTTCAGTGCAATTTATTAGCCGCTATCCCTCGATCAGATACAGCCCCGCCGCCCAAATGGAGGGGCACATAAAATACATCAAATTCTGGCCGTGAATCACCATGCAAATGCGGGGAATTTCACTTTATTCCGAAGGGGTTTACAGCGATCGCCGACGATAGGCGATCCAGGCCCCAGCTGTGTGCCCTTATCGCCCGGCACCGATTTTCCAGGAGGCCACTTCGAAATTCATTACGTTTCCATAACATTCCGGTTCAAGTACTTCCACGTGTACGTTGCTCGATCGGATCACGGGGCGGCAGGGGGGGGGGCGAAGGGTTGAGCCCGAAGCACGCCAAATCCCAGCTGCCAGGTCGCTATCGTGCCAAATATTTTGTAGTGACACACGACATTCGTTGGAACGAGTTTTCGGGAATATGCATATGAACCCTGGAGTTCCCCGGGAGGCAGCCAGAGAGCGGCAGACTGAAATATTACGAGTCGAATGAATAGTCTTGTTGCCTGTAAGCTCACAGTGAAACTGTATCTTTCATGATTAACGGGCATGACAAAATACTATAACTATATCCAAATAAACCTTTAGGGAAAACCGAGCACTGCGATGTGCATTTTTCTATAAGGGATTTTTTCGTTGTTTTCTCGTTCTTTGCACCAATGTACTCGATACCTGTGATGGGCGTACAGAATGATAGCTACTATTCTCGAAACCCTAATAGGGGTTGGGCCTGGTCATGCGGAAAGACAATCGCTTCTTTATACTTCTAGTTCACAAAGTCTGGAGAATGCTGGGAGAACAAATGTGGCAATGACATTTACAGTCACGATTCTCCAGCCAGCCAGCACTTGCCAGCTCCCAGGTGTGGTTTCAGAGTTAAGAAAGAACTACAGCAGATAAACAAGAACCGATCAGTAACAAATGTTTCGATGGTCTGTGCATTTCCAAACACTCATATTGCATTCCATTGTTTTCAGTTAGGAAATATTACTTATTTATACATGTACACCACGTTTCAAAAAATTTTTACTTCTGAATACCGCCAAAAGAACGTTATCCAATAACAACTAATGATTAATAACATACTGCACAGTGACAACTTCTCATAACATCAGTTGGTTTAATTAACCATAGCAATAAAACGCTAAAAAGTACATACCAAACTACATAGGTATCCAGAGAACGGAAAAAAAATCTTCCCGTCGAAAAACCGTCATATATTTTTTCCTGAATAAAAAGACAACTTGCGCGGCACACACGAAACAAATTCTTATATCTGCGTCTCTGCCTTTTGACTTGAATACTGACGCAAACACGAGGATGTGATACACGGCAGCTCGTCAACGCGTAACATGGCATTCGCCCAGCCAGCGTCTCGCATTCCGTTTTGTTCAACATTTCTAAATTAGACGCCGCCCCCCTCTTCGGTTCTGCCCATGACACCGCACTTCAGAAACAAGCAGCCAAAGCCGGCCTCCACGACGAGACACATGTCATCACATCCCAGTCTGGGAAGACCCTCGTAATAGGCAAAAAGCTACCATTCTCCGCCCAGCGCTTAACAACGCTTTCTAAGCTATTTAAAGCGAACAAATATTTCAGCCCCGAACAAAAGGTACTCGTTTGACTGTTCAATTTGGCTGCCTATGATTTGATGTGTAGTCCTCAGCGGGCGAACCGCGAAAGGAGCGAGCAGTGTCCGACGAGGGAGGGGGAGAGCGGTCGGGTTAAAAAAAAAAATGAAGAAAAAGAAGAAGTGGAAAGAAAATGGGCGCGCCGGTCAGTCGTTCTCCAGACAAGAAAGGCTGCTTTCTAAGGACGCGGGTCCGCGCGGCAATAACAGAAGTAGTTGGGGGAGAACAATCCACACTTTCTTTGCTTCGAAGATGGATATAGATCAAAGCTCCCCAAAAGTTAGTTTTATTGTAAAGTTTTCACGAAAGGCAGCTGGAGGCGAGCCACCAGAGCGTACTGCCGTATTCATGCGGTAAAATCTTGATTTGGTTACGTAGATTCACTTCCGATACTTTCTCTTGAATTCTATAAGAATTCTGCTGTATTTTCTCCAATTATACTTCGTAATATTTCCGGGAATTTAACGTATTTCATCCATCCATTTACTTATTACGTGTCAAGCATCTCCTATCTTAGACGTGGACAGAATACTCGGAAGATTTGAAAGATATGCATATTGAATAGCGAAGTAAAACTTAATTAATTCTTAAATGAGAGTCATGGATGAAACAAACTTATTCCTCAACAATAGCATTTTTTCAAATTAGGTTCTCAGAAAATAAATCGTGTAATTCTTCAAATCCGCCGAGAAATTAACCTGTTAGAAATGTACAGTTAGTAAAATATTGTGATGTAAAGAGGATTTAGGCGCGTTTCAGACCATACTCATTAGCGAATGCAATTCGCCAGTAATAACACAGGGTGTTACGGGATGTTGATTCAAGAGCAGAGTAAGCTCCGCTATCACCTACAGCGGAGTGGCACTCAGTGTGGACCGTGTGAAACCCGCCACAAGCCATTCATTCCCCCGAAAAGCCAAAAGAAATCACCATACAACCAGCAAGTCGATTACACACAATCGAGGGGTACGTTAAACACGAGTTTCGTTGTCACCCCAAGTGGCAGCGACCAGAGTCGCCCGAACGCACGGGGAGCCGGAGAGAGGCCAAACGTTGGTTGCGCCACAGGCCGCAACGCAATTCATCCACGTCGATTTTCAACCTCGGTCCAATTAATCGCAAGACTCTTAGGAAGCTTACGCCACCAGGGGGGGACTATAGAGAGCGTTGCGGGGCGACGGCACCGCGGTAAGAGGCTGCTCGTGGTGGTGAATTGCCTAATGGACCGTGGCTAATTCGTAACGAGGCGAGCGTCGGGACGGCGCGCCGCACGCGATGAGGGGAGGGCGGAGGCGGGGAGCCGGGCGAGAGACGGGTGTGCGCTCCGAACGTGCCCGCACGGAGTTCCGCGACGCCGCTCTTGCGTGGGAACGCGGAGGACGCCCACCGCCCACCCACCCTCCGTCCGTCACCTCGCCGCGCCGCGCCGCGCCGCGACCTGGCAGGTCTCAGAGTCCCCGCACGTTATTGAACGACGATGGTCATACGTAGGGGCGGATTTTGATGACCTAAAATCCAAAAATTATCAAAATGCAAATATATATTACGTAAAAAAATGTGATCAAAACCAGTTCGGATGAGCCACTCTAACTTTGCACGTTACTGACGTAATTGAGGCTGCTTTCATTCGTTCAAATGAACTCGACTTGCAAATTTTGGTATGGCCTCTTCTTTACCTGGAAATTTCAGTCTTTAGTTATCCGAAAATCGGCCGAAAGGACAATGGCGATAATAGGAGTCACAAGAACCTACAACGGCTGACATTACAATTTCTGAGCGAAGAAATCAAATAGTCTATTGAGGAAATCTGTAGCGAATATTCGTTTCATCTTGTAAACATAATTTGAAGCAAATACCGTAAAAATTATATTAAAATCTGTGAAATAAGCAAAAAATGCATTACAAAATACTGAAACAGTGAAAGAATGACTTATTAATCGAAATCAAAGAAAAATCCAAAACATAGAAATTAATTTCCTTTTTTCATACACAAAATCACAAAATTAATTTCTGTACTAAGCGGCATCATTCTAAAGTGAAAAGAAAACAAATGACATTTCATTAAAATCCGCCCCTAGTATTAATAGAGGTCGATTTACGGTGCAATTACGGATCGAGATTGTCAGTGCTAAAAACACACGGAACAATATACGTTGAAAATAATTCATTGCGTTGAAAATGTGCATTTATCTGACTGTAAGACTGCATTACTTACGTTTCTGAGGTAATATATGTTAATTATTTACTCGTATTTCTCCTTACAGGTACGTTTCTTGGAGTGTTAACTGTAGATGTACGAGTCCACGTGATAACAAAACCGATTCTTTGTGGTAGAATATATTATTTGTATTTGTTCATAGATGTCTTTGCGTCAAGTAAATACGAAAATACAATATCTAGAATAGAATGTTGATCGCATTTAGAAACAAAAATATGTAATTTAAGTTTTACTGGAAACCAGTGCGCTAAAAATCGTTTCGCGAATGAGGCATTTATATTCTCCTTGGGATCTGCTATAAGATGTGTGTACTAAGTACACTGTTCATTCATTATTGTATATTAAACTGTTAAATCCACTTGCGACAATATTAGTGTATGACAAATTTCTCAATTTGATTTGAACGAGAAACTAGCACTTCTTTGCTTCTCTGCAAATAATTACTCGAACTCTTAAAACGTAGTGTACGTACTGTGCTCCCTTGGTCTCTCTGAACTACTGTTTCTCCGAGAGAACACGCACGCACTGAGATTAACTCTAATTACTTAACTTAGAAAGCATTTTTACAGCAGTTTACTTTTCGTGCAAAGTTTATTTTTATGTCTGCTACGTTCTTGTTGACCGCACTTACAAGCATGCATTTTCGAGGCAAAGAAAAACAGTCTTGGCGTTACGATATTAAATTATGGAGGGTGTATAAGTACTAGTTATGATCTGTTCTGTTTAATATTAAGTTCTTTTAAACTTAGTTAAAGAAATTTCTCTATGAAAGATTCTGAAATACCCAAAGCTCAAATAATCAAGGAACTGGTGCATGAAACCGTGGCCCAGCACACATTCTGTTTCACAATAATGAGGACGTTATTTTAACGAAGGTATGCGTAAAATACTAGTTCTGTTTTTAAGGCGTTCATAATAGCAATGTTCCATTACATTTGTACTCTAACCAATTCATGCGTGAAAGTGAAACAACCATCAATAGAGAATATTTGCAAAATGACAACAAATGAGGAAGAATTTTCATTAAGAAAAATGTATTTTATTGACCAGTAGAAATAAAGAATTGCATGGAAAAATTTCTCAAAAGCATTTTCGTTCTACATTATTACTTATTAGTAATCACAACCAAACATTTGTCAGGAGCTTTCCTTACATTGGGATTGTTGTTGATATTTGCCAAGAAAGAACAACTTACCGGAATGCAGCTTATTACAAACTCGGGTATTTTCGCAAAAATTCCAGCTATTCCCTCCTAAAAATCCTTCTTCAGAACAGGAGTGCGCGGAACGGAGAGTAAAGCAGAAAGATAATCGGCAGCTACTCACTTGGTAAGCGTCTCCAGCGACGACGTGTAGATGGTGCCGCCGACGTCGATGTGCACGGGTGCCGTGTAGCGCGACGCGGCCGCTACGCACGGGATGCCCGTGATCTTGTGGTTGTAGTTGAGGGCCGGCGGCGTCGGCGACGATGAGTTGGACATCGTGGGCGACGTAGCCGGCGAGCTGCTGGGGGACAGCAACCTACAACAGTGTAGCTACCGTCACTACGCGGCGGGGACGGTTGCGGGGAGCCCCTGCTCCGCTCCCTTCCCCAACCTTCCGCTCCTCTCCTCTCCTTCTTCGCTTCTCCCCTCGCCTGACCGAACTCACGTCCCACAGACGACGGTGAAGGTAGCCTCGAGAAGAAACGAACAGTTGCACACTATAACCAAGGTCGTGTCGAGTCCTAGCACAGGTATTGCGAATCGAAAGGACGAAATACTGTGCGCAAGTGTTGAAAGTAGTGGTTAATGGATCCAAGTAAATATTATTGCGGAGGGAAACTTAAGATACAATTTTTATATAAAATATACCGCGAAATAATATGAGAAAGAGATTGCCTAAACATATGATGGTGATGATGAACAACTATAATAATACGTACGTTGATAACATCAAAATTAAGAATGGAAAAGATAACTGTTTTGAAAACGAGGCACACGTACGAGAGATTTGAGAAAATGAATTCTTTGAACCTTCAAAGTAATGCCAGATACTTAATAATGGTTTACGATTTACGTGAACACAAAAGTTCATTAATGGGTGTGAAAAATGTATTTCGTTTATTATTGCATGTCGTGTCTTTGAGATTTGTTCAGTGGTAAAATCCTATACAAGAAGAAACTTATCATGCGAGATATCACATTAAGAGTTACATGAAGCAATTTTAAAAGCAACCGCATACACCTGCGTGTACTAAATGGACTCATTAGCGTGGCCAATTATTTTCATTTGTAGATTTCAAATTTGAGTCTTATAAATAAAATAAAGACTCAAATTTAAATTTTCAGATCTTAAAACTATTTCCATTGTGAAAGTCAAAATTGCAGCAAATGAACTCTAAAAGCTTACTTCTCCATCACCATCCCTCTCGAGATCAAGTATGAGAATGATATACTAGTCGCAAACCAGAAAATATTCAAATTAACTATTATATGAAAATATACATAAATATTGGGATCAAAGCAGAATGTGTTTTTACTAGTATGCCATTTTCAGAATTTCATATCACACAATCACTGCAAAGTGAACTTGATAATTTCGGAGAAATGTATTCTGGTGACGGATCCACCGCACACCTTCAATTTTGATTCAGATTTCAATTCAGGCATTGAAAGAATGTTGGAAGATGACATCGCCCTCCCCTATTTTAATTTTCATTTGAATGATGAGCAATTTTTGATTGCTCATCCGTATCATCAGATCTGCCAATTAAATAATTCGACTAGCCTAAATCTAACTCAGATATTCCCAACCCTTTTCTTGCATCGACCCCTTGTAAAATAACGAATTACTTCATGGACTTCCTCGACTTGTTTCTATAATACACGCAAAATAATCATGATATAAATATATTCACATAAATGATTTAATAACAATTAGACAAAGATTATGAATGAAACATTTGCAAAAGTGGTTTATTAGGTTTATGTTCTATTATTTTGTGTACTATTATGTTTCAATTTTTTGAAATACGAACAAGTATTATTGAAAATTTTGAATTTTTATATAAGAAAACAGTTAACAACATAGTTTATTTGTAATCAAACGGATCTTGATTACACTGATTAGTTGCCGGTGCGTGTTCGGCTATCGACCCCTTTAAAATTTCATCGGCTCTTACGGTGTCGATACCGACCTTGTTGGGCAACACTGATCTAGCTGCTCGTTAACTAAAAGAAAAGAAAACAAAAGTGTGTGAAGACGACGTGACCTCGCATTGGCCATCTCAGAAGGCAGTACCGTAAGTACTTCTGCGGCGCGAGTCTTCGGCAAGGCGGCACAGCGGGAGCCGAAACAGCAAGAAGACAAGCGTTGGGCCGCGGTGCGGGACCGGGCGCTCGCACAGGCTCGACCGTTCTGGAAGACATCCCGCTGGGCACTGAAGGAGTTTCCCCGCCTCCCAAGGAAGCCCACTGCCCCTCCCTGCCCCCCCCCCCGCCCCGAGGGGCTACCGCCGGGGGGTCTAGGCATCGTATCTTATCAGTTAATTGCTCCAAACCTTTGACACCCAGACCGATTCATGGGAATTTATATTCTCAGTTTGTGCAGCCAGACGACTATAAAGCAATCCACGACGATTCGCAGATGTTTTATAGGAATACAGAGAGCTTATTTATTCTTCTTCCGGGATAACTGAAATGACACGCCTAGCTTCGAGGTACAGTGATGTTCGACTCGAATTGAACAGTTTGTTCAGTGAAGTCTTTCCGTCGGTGCAGTTGCAGTGCGATTGAAATGTTGACTGGAGCTGGGATGAAAACCATCTATTTTTTTCTCAAGAAAATGGATAAGTTGAAGAATAGAGGGATGTTCGAGAGAACACGAAGTCCAATTTACACACACTCGTATATAGATGAAAAAGAGTGTGCAGAGTGAAAAGAGGAAGACATTTGTATTGCCAATAGAACCACAACGATTGATTTTTGACAGGAGCTGTTAAGGAAATTTGACTTCGCATAAAAGTAACACTGATTTTCTTTCTCATTCAAAAGATTAGATTTTCAGTCGCCAGGTGCGGCATGCGGCATACGTGAGTGTATTTGTATCTTTAGCGCACGTGAGGTAGATATGACACATTTGAGTAGTGTCCTTCTGGACTAGCAACAGCTCACTTCATATGTTTTGGAGAGATATAGCACATTATAATTAGTGGCATTTAAAAGCAAGCTGATTTGCCGTAAGACAAAAAAGTTCATTAAGAGCGCTCAGGAAAGAGAGTAAAAACGAATATAAGTAACTGTTCTACATTCCCACTTCCAATTACCTATCTGTATACTTTTAAATAAGTTTAAAACAAATCAGTTTTAATTTTCACCCTGTTTCATAAGAACTCTGGTGCTAGACAATGCAATGTCCATGAAAGACAATAAAAACAAGTGTTCAAATTATAACAAATTCAAATAAAAACAAGTTCACAGCACACATACTTAAATTTGTACTTGATCTTTCGTCAGCGCGTATGAAATCGCTATCTTTTTACGATTAAGAATTGTAAATCAAGGTACGTATATAATTATGCTTGTTTCTTAACCACCAATCGTTTTAATCACCGTTAAAAGTACTTAATGAATTTTAGAATCTGCAATCAGAGTTGTTCTGTTGCGGTGCACCGCAGCTTTCACAAATGATTTTCATATTTCTTGGTTAAGGGGCTCACTTCCATTACTAGAGTATCAGCAATTAATTGTTTGCATTTACAATAACAAACGGGTACACGCTGTAGAGCAAGGTGAATGTAAAAGTTCAATCTCTTACTTAACGTTTCCTCTCGTGTTGTAGACACTAGAGTGTCTCAAACGAAACGAGGAGCTATTTGAATGAGCAACGACAGCAGAGTACGGTTTCTTGCAATTCAACGAAGATTCAAGTTTTTGTTGAAGAAACAGCATTAAATTAAAATATGAAAGCGCTGTTTTTTCGAAACTAAATTGACATTTGACGAACGTAAGTTATGTACGGCTATTTTTCTGTCTAGTGATTTACGCAACTCGAAAATGTATAATTGAAGGGAGTGATCGATTGAATAAAACTACACTGTTTGGTCTTCTGAATTTTCTAAGTAATATATATCTTTTAAATTTCATGTAGAAATTCTATCTTTTTTTTGGTGTTTCACCTTGCATTGTCGAGTGCCTCTTATGAAACATGAAGACTCTTACAAACGAATGGTCTGTTGCGTAGTCTCCTACGACTTGCACGACGAATTACTACAAACAAGTAAATACGTAGTATTAAAAAGTACCACACAATATCCATTTAACTCTGAGAGTTCAGGGAACTGTAATCTCTAATAATAATGTAGGCTTACAAAATTGCAAGACTATAATGCGAGATTTGACCACACAACTTCAGTATAGTTCTCTCAACGGTTTTCACGCTATCACGTCGTAAAAAGTAGTCCGAAGATCCGTGCACTGCGGATCGCAGACCGCGGAGAATTGCAGCCAATGAGCTCTGCCACCTAATTTTCCACTAATGACGGCGTGCTGCATCTGCATTCTTTCCAAGCACATACTGGTCCCTCGCCTTTCTGAACGGGTCTGGAATACGCGTGGGGAGGTGGAGTAAGACGCATGACAAGGAAAGAATGTTTCGTAGGTGTACTGCCCACCTGTTTAAATGGCCATGGCGACACTTCGCGATTATCGATATAAATTCAACTTAAAGAAGTTATGTACAGGGCTGTTATACGTTGGCCGATATAAGACGTAATTTATTATTCTGGAAGATTGGGAATAAAGTATTGTGAGCATTAACCATTGGATAGGCAATCGACAATTGCAATGACTAGCCTCCGCAAAGCAACATCGGCTTAACTAAACATTTTTCCGTATATACGTATGAAGAACATAATAGAAATCAATGTTGCAATAAGTCAGAAACACGCCCAAAACATTATTACATGAACGTAAACTGTACCTACAGTAGAAAGTTTCCCTAAACGATTTTGACGCGTGGAATAGACTATAAGCAGCGTTTTTTATGTGAGGAACGCACGATTACTCTTCAATAAAAAATGTATATCCTTAACATTAATAAAGAATGTAATAGCGAAATACGAAATATTTGAAATATGGAATTAATGATCAACGTCTAGTTATAAATATTATGCGGCAGATTAAACAAAATAAATGTGAATATGTCTTTGCCATACACTTCCCTGAAGAAACAGGTTCCGCAGTCGTAACAGCAACACTGTAGATATATTTACGACTTTTCAACCACGGTCGCTGAAGACGTCACAGGCGAATCGGATTCAGGCCCGATAACAGCCGGGCGATGTGACAGTGCGTTTATTACTTTACTTTCGGAAACCAGATCCCTCAACACTCATTCTTTACACGCATACTGTATCTACCATGACATCTATCTGAAGTTGAGTTGGCGAGTAGACTACGTCGCTCGGCCCGAAAGGTCAATACCTTCAGTCAGTCAGTCAGTCAGTCCACTTCTGCTCCGAAACTCTTCTCAGCGTAGGG